AGAGAACCCGAGAACCAGGGAAACGCGCAGTAGTTGACATCGGCGGCCAAACGTCAACTACAAAACAGAAAAGGCCACATGTTTTTGGAATAAAGAACTCAAATACTCGCAGTACCAACTTATTAACAATTGATGTGCTTGTTAACAATGTGAAAATTAATTGTGTCATTGACACAGGTTCAGTTATAACAGTTATCCACCCAAAGAAATATTACGAGATAGAAAGATGTGTGAGACCTAAATTATTCCCAAACCGTAGTAACTTACAAATGGCAAACGGTGATTTAGTTGTACCAGAAGGTCAGACCGAACTTCAAATTTGTATTAATGGGGAAGTTACGGAACATAAAGTGGTCGTCGCTGACGTTGAGTCAAATATGATTTTAGGCCTTGATTTTCTTAAACAGCATAACTGTCAATTGAACTTGGGTGAAGGAACTCTTACATTGGGAAAGAAAAAGTTACCATGTGACCTTAATAGTGAACAAAATCTTGTGTTCAGCATTTCCGTACAAGAAGCTGTACAACCTGATAATAAGGACCGACGACCATGTGAACATTGTGACGAGGAGGACACAAACGACGCTGAGAAACATATCAGAGATTGTACCGTTGGTGAAGCAAAGAAGAATCCATCTAGGGCAGCCAGATCTAGAGGAAAACCGGGTCAATGTTTAGTTAGGGAACCACTGGAACAAGTGGATATTGATATCCTTGGTCATTTACCACGGACCAAGAAGGGTAACAAGGACGTTGTTACCAGTTCAGATTATTGCACCCGATGGATAGAAGCAACCGAGAACCAGAAACGAAAGTATGGCACCAAGTCAAACCAGATTCAGTACACCCCAGGGCAGTATGTGTCGATCGCATCAAAGGCAAGGACCAAAGGAAGATCTCATAAACTTAAGGTTCATCGGAATGGACCTTACACAGTGTTACGTGTTGTGTCCGATTCGGTATTCAAAGTGAGAAAGTATGCAGCGGAGAAACCAAAATATGTGCATCATGACCAGATGAAGCTGTTTAGTGGTGAAGCAGATGACATTATATTCGAAAAACGCGTATCTCAAAAGACATTACCAGTGGACTTCTATAAGTCATTGATAAAATGCCCCGAAACGAGGACGTTTCGACTTAAGAAGGGGGTAATGTAACGTTTCACAAAGTGTACCTGTGAAATTCGGGTTAACTCTTGTTTACAAGTTTGGAATATATGGAATTTGAACCCGATGTTTATAAACTCCGTAAATAATTTGTCAATGAACAGTTAACGAAAGAAATGAACTATAATTGATTTAATGACTTTATTAATTTAACATGTATGATTTAATGACAAAGTGGTGTATTTTGTATGTTTTATATGGGTACAACGTTATTAATTTAGTAGGTAATTTTGATGGTTAAATCCCGCTAACTTATTCATTGCATTGATTGTGACGTAATAGGTATCTGATTGTCTCTTACGTCATCATAACAACTTTTGTCTATATAAACCAGCTGTTTTGGGTTTAGACTTCAGTCGGCTGTGGGGAGCGACTCGTAGCACACAGCCTTCCCTGGTAAGGGAAAAGTGACCTAAGTCACTTTGAGGAACGACTCCGTATACTTCGGTTATAAGACGGTACCAAGTCTATGTATACGAAACCATTAAAGGGAACCAAGTTTTTAGGAACGTCCTGGATTGACCATCGGTTGGTCACCTTTTTGTTAACCAAATAACGTTGTACCAACCAAGTTATAGTGTACCATTCTGTGTGTTTATAAGTGAACCATTTGATCGTCCTAATAAATGTTATAAACTTTTAACAAGTGTTATTCCTAAGAAACATTGTTTAAAGTGACCAAAATTTGGTCATTACGTAAACCTATTAAGTGACCAAAAGTTGGTCATTACGTCAACCAAATAAGTGACCAAAAGTTGGTCATTCCATTAACCAATTAAGTGACCAAAAATTGGTTATTAACCATTATATAAACTTTGACCAACGGAACCATCAAATCTCGACCAAGTGACCAGAAAACTAATAGCGGCCCACGAGTTTATTACACGATACCCTCGGTTTCGTTACAATATCATTCCACTGAGCACGTGGTTGGCATGTGCATATATCTGCTGTGGATAGATGCGTTTATTACCATGATTATATTTAATTTTTCATGGAACAAGTCTTGATAATTTGTTGGTTTCTTTAAAACTCAAGAAAAAAACATAAAAAATGTCCTAAACATATGTGTTTACGTTGGGTCTTTTTTCTGTGGCGATAGAAGTTATTTTCAAATGGGGCACTGCAAGGAGGATGCTTAGCATTTAATTTGAAAATGTTAAACAATATGCGGTGCATGAAAAACAAATATTAATTACATGTCGTACATTCGAAAAGTTAGTACACATGTCTATTTTGTTTAGCAGTTAGATAGAAACAATAGGCAGTTATAAGATTTCCTTCAGGCACCTCACATAAATAGCTAGATTTCTTGCAATGACCCACACATTGTATGGAGTAATGTTTGGACATAAAAACGCATCATGTCTCATTATGTTGACAACGTTGTAATCTCTCGCTCATTGAATATACGAAGCTTGATAAAATATATTGATTTGTTTCTTTGAAATTTAGAAATAAGCACAATGTTTGCAAAGAAAGGTCCATTGCATATGCTATGTCTATCATCGCAAAAAAAAAAGTGAGAGGTTACCCCCCCCCCGAAAATTTTATGTTTGTTTGTTTTTCTAAATAGTGCCAAAGATTGAAAAAGTTTGCATTACTACAGTGTAAGTATGTGATGGAACATGTACTAGCCTTATAAGACCATTTGTTATAAAAATATTTGGTTGCCCTCTCTCCAGATCTACTGTCTAGAAATGGCCCGACTCAAATTTTTTTTACATCCCATTACACGATATTTTTTTCTTCCGTCAACAAATATGTTTAAATTTTAACGAATTTTTTCTCACCTATAAATACCGACCCAATAATTTTTCCCTGAGTTGGGAGGACCACCAAACGTCATTTTAAAGATGGTGATTTTTTTTCTTTACTCTGTAAAATTATACTTTTTGACAAAATGGGCGAATAGAAAAAAAAGGTTTTTTTTATTCATTAAATCTTCTAACCCACTCTGAATGATTTCATTCCTTTTCAAATGTTGCTCCGCTGTAATGAAAATTGTATTTTATGTTTATTTGACAGAGTATACGAGGGGTGATCAAAAAGTAAACGGTATCGTAGGTATTTGATAGTTATATTATTGTTGAAATATTCGAGTATTTTTCAAATTGAAAATTTGAGGTCTTTTATAGCATATTGCTCAATTAAAAAAAACACCCCTTTTCAAACTTGCTTTCTCCGGGCAACATAAGTATCATATTTAACCATCTGCCTTCCTTCACTAAAACGATCTATCCAATCATTGATTGAATTTATAGGAAGTCATTTGTCTTAATAAACTGTGAACAAATTCTTATACGCTACTTCAAAGGCATTTTTAAGATATACCATAAATATTTTAGTCGTTTGTTGAACGAGTTCCACTGAGACAACCATTTTTCGTCACAATTACCTGCATAATGACGTCATTTCCACATTGTGAGCAAAACTTTATTCAGCATATGCTATTTATAGAACTTGTGTTTGGCTATGTGTGCACCAAATTTGTTTCTAATCTGAATTGTGGTTTTGTAGATACATATGTATAGAGATAGTTCGCGAACTTTTTGATCACCCCTCGTACTAGTAGGTACTAAAACAAGGTCATTCATATTGATTTTATGTGTTTTATTTCTTTGTGTTTCAATGGTGATAATTAAACTTTTAATAGATATTATAAGTTATCTGTGGCAAACTTACAAACTCTTAATTTTTGACTTTGGTGGTGCTCATGACATTTTTTCCTTTCCTTGAATCAAAGAGTTTAAGATTTTTTTTATATCAATACGTACACTATTTAACAACTGTTCGATAATAATACTAAATAAATTACTTCAAGAAACACTATAACACATTTCCTCTTTTAAAAGTGTTCATATTATTTGAAATATTTTGCAACTGTAATTTTCTTCTACATTTAAAGATTGTTATGTCCCTCCATATTAAGAAGAGGTCTGGAAAACAAAATTCTGTGCTAAAAATAGACCACGTGCTGCTATCCATGAACTACTTTCATGGTTCTTTACACTCTTTTTGAAGACAACGATACATTGTTTTGAACTTGAAATTATCATTTAAAAGTGCAAAATTTAGACATTTTCTCAACAAATGGTTGTAGAGAGAACATTAATGCACACTTTTCGTATTTTTTTGGATTTTTTAAGGCTTTGCTGAATTCTGCAGCTGCGCAGTTCTAAGGAGCATATCAAAAGCATTTTTCTGCAAAAGTATAGGTTATATATGCACAACATGCATTCAGTTAATATGCATATTCAGTGTGTCTTTATCATAAAGACTTAAAATTTGATCAAAATATAATGTATTTTAGCCATTTGAAGAAATGTTTACAATTTGTTCTCACTGCACTAAAGGTGGCCGTACATCCCCCTTAATCTGTGTATCTAAAGATATATACAACTGTAGTTGTAACTCTTATGCAGACAAACGAATTATAAACATTGATTATTTAATTTAAACCATTAAATATTAATATTTATTTAACTTAATTTCATATTATTATCAAGAAAATATCCTTAAAAATATGATAATTGGTCTTAAAATAGTGATTTTTGACGAATTTTATGTTGGTCAGGTCAGTCAGGTCTTTAGTAGGTCCCCCATAAAAGCTGTTGTTGCCAGATTGCTTGTTTACAGACAAATTAAGATTAACGAAATTCTCATTCTTTTAAGTTCTTTTCGAACCAATCTGTCCTTGAAAATGGGAAACTTAATATTAATGAATCAAATAAAATCATTATCCGATGTTCTTTTCAAATTACATGTATTCCGGGAACTTTCATTTTGAGTTTTATGTTGTCATCCGGATAAGTTGATACTGTTCGGTTCTTTATTTACAACAATTGTATACTTCCTGTTTTGAGTGGGATGTGTGGCAAAGTTGTAAAGATGTTTAAAAGTTTCTTTTTCTCTGTATTTGTGTGTGTCCTTTTAAATTTGACGTTATTTGTACATACTTTAGAAATAGACCTAACGGTAGACGTAAAACCAGGCTATGAAGAGTGCTTCTTCGAGGAGATTAAGAAACCAACGAGTTTGGAAATTGAGTATCAGGTATGATACGAACCCAGTAGGCCTACATATACCCTTCTAATAAATATCTTAGCTTTGTGTGAAGAATTTAAATGTGTCTGAGAAAGAAAAAAGAAAAGCGTTTTAAAGAAACGATATGATTTTGAGTGTCTAGTGATGAAAGTAATAAGAGTAAAACGAACAGGTCCAGCACAATCTCTTGATTAAGCTATACAGCTTTTAAAAGTTATATAGCTTTATTAAGCTATTCAAAATAGCTTGATAAAGCTATTTATTTGCAGTTTTTCACAAAAACGTTTTTTGCAAGAAATTAAAAAAAGTCGCAAGTATTTGACTTTTCATCAGGTCCAGTCCAAAGACTATTTCTACCTACGTAGCTATTAATAGCTACCTAGGTATTTAAAGCTACCAAAAGTAGCTATTTTTACCTACTTTCTGCTTTACTTGCATTTTGTGGCCAAATGCAGGAACGGCGCAACATGGTGAGCACAAAATTTCTTGATACAGTCACACTGATGATGGATATGACAAAAATTTGGCCAAAAAATGATGACTTCGTATATTATCAATTTTGCATAGAAACTAATGTAAAATTGCCGATTCAGGAAGTAATCATGTTTTGGACAAATTTTGTCGTATTCATCAGTAGTGTGATTGTATCAAAAGATATGGTATTCACCGTGTTGCGCCGTTTGGTCATTAGGCTGCAAAATGCAGAAATTATAAAAAGTAGGTAAAAATAGCTACTTTGGGTAGCTTTAAATACCTAGGTAGCTATTAATAGCTATGTAGGTAGAAATAGTCTTTGGACTGGACCTGTTCATATATGTACTATGGACTATCAAAAATACAACCTAAATCATAAAAAGTTTTCACATTGCTGCTGTTGCTTACTTTTAATCAAAATATGAATTTCCATTGTTTGAGTAACTGTCCACTACTTTGTGTGCGGTGAGGCGTGGGTAAGTATGATTGCTTCTCATTGTGCTGAACTGTTACCAATCAATTATCCTACATGCATTGTATTCAAGAGATTGTGTCGGACCTGTTTAAAAAAAATTTACTAAAATTTACTGAGATGGTTTGAATGAATCATTCAGGTAATAGATGGTGGTGATTTAGATATCAACTTCATGGTGACGTCGCCTCATGGTAGAATCATGGTATCAGAGCTTCAGAAATCGGATGCAGTTCACAAGTAAGTAAAACCACTTAACAGAGTGATCAGATTGGTACTAAGGTGCTGCACTTACATGTAAATAGAGAACCTATTATGAAGGAACCCGGGTGGTTTCACCCTGATTCCCTGTTCGCTTTGAGTGGTTTGGCCCCAATTACTTGTTCGCGCTGAGTGGATTCGCCCCATTGGTTTAACCTATAATTAATGTCGGGTGGTTGTTTGATCAGTAGACTAATGATGAGCAGCTTAATAAAAATTAAATATGAAAGGCCATCCTTGTGCATTTTACATGTATCTAGGCAATATACCAACTATTTTTACAATGGCTACATGTAGCTGTATCCATTGTGCATAAACTATAACTAATTTCTAATTTTCTTATGTTAAACTAAAAAATCCAAGGGAAATAAGATGTGGATGGTGCGACCGTTAGGGCGAGCGCAGATAAGTTTATGATCCAGGTTTCATTTAAATCGGGCTCGTCAAACCGCACGTGACATTGCATCTAAGACTCTGACGTCACATGACGTCGTATGCATGTTGCTTTACCAAACCGAAGCCTAAACAGAGCTGATTGTAATAAAGAACCGTTTTATAGACTATTTTTCTGCAATAAAATCATTAAATCAAGGCAAGTTTATAATTCGTTTAACTTTTTGTTGTTATTCTAACGATAACTTTGTTTTAGCTTTTCTGCACGAATCAATGCATTGCAGGTCCAAATTACTGTGCAAAAAAATTCTATCAAATGAATGTGCAGTAGTCGGAATTTTCTCTTTGCCCAGGTGTTGTCGTTAGAGCTCGCAGTGACGAGCCTCGCTTCATGACTCTTGCTGCGCTTGCTATTATATTTATTTATTTATTCAGGCCCTATTTATTTGTCTATTTTTAAAAAAAATGAATCGCTATACGTTGCATTAGATTTCATGATGAATTAATTTTTTATTCGTAAAGAATATCACTTTATATCAAATATTGAATGTTGTTTAATTATCTAAATACCACTGTGTGTAAATCTCTTAATAGGAAAACATATAAATTTATTACCTAGGCTAGCTGTAGTTAAAGGGGGCAAAACCACTCAGCATGAAACCACTCGGCGCAAACACGTAATCGGGGAGAACCCACCCGTTACCTCATGAACAAATCATTTTTTTTTATGGATCTAGGAAGAATAAATCAATATAAGCTGTTATGAGACCTGTCTTCTCTCCTTTTAAAGTACAAAAAAGGGGAAAAAAATGAAAAAGGGAATGAGAGCTGTAAATGTTAATCCCTGAAAGTTTCTGTATAAAATTGGAATGATATTGATTCTGTATAAAATTGGAATGATATTTCTGTAAGGCACAGGTGTAATAACGTGGACTATTATTCTCATTTTAATTTTCCTAATTTTTCTGCAGGCTTGATGCCACAGAGATTGGTGTTTACAAGGTTTGCTTTGACAACTCATTCAGTCATTTTGCAAGAAAGCTGGTCTTCTTTGAAATCATGGCTGGTGATGATGATGAGGACGAAGAAGATGATCTAAAGAAAGACTGGAAGGCGGCTCAGGAGGAGCTGTCGTCTATTGTAGACATGACTCTGGAAGATTTCAAGGTATAAAAATTAACATGTTGAAAATCATATATATACTGAGTTGGACATTTCATCCCTAATTAATTCTCATTTATGTTAAGAAAAAAAAGTGTGTGTATTGATGTCTTTATTGCAAATTGTTATTAACATTCTTAATTGTGTCTGGTTTTCCTGTTTACCGGATTTTGTGAAAGAGCACCTTGTCGGGGATGTTCACTCCCCTATGGCTTGTGATTCCACCTCCATTTTTAGAGGTCCTTGTTTGCTCTTCTCACAATTGTTTTTGTTAAATTGGACTTTTTAAAATGGTAACTGTTCCTTATCTTCAAATTTCATGTTAAGTACCAAATGCCAAAAACTAGATCTAATTCTTGAATATAATCACTTGACTGCAGATGGGGGAACTTTGCTTGCCAAAACATTTGAAGCCTCAGTAACAGTCTCCACAACTTGATTATAATAATTATCAGTATACTTTACTTGTCATTAAGTTAGATAACTTTAAGATAACTATTGTGTTGATTCAATAAATGCCTTGTATTGCAGAGATTGCTGGATAATGTTAACAATAATCTGGATAAAGCTAGCTCTGATCAGCAAGTCCTGAGGAACTACGAGGCTCGAGATCGCAACCAACAGGAGAACAACTTCCAGCGCGTGAACTTTTTCTCTGGAGTACAAGTGTTTATAATGTTGTCTGTAGCTCTAACCCAAGTCCTTCTCATCAGGAGTTTATTTGATGATAAAAAGAGAGTACAGATGAAAGCCAGTACCTAATGATTATTTTAACAATAGATTATTTATAAGGTTATGTAGGTTTCAAACAGTTACTCAAACAATGGAAATCATTTTGAGGTTGGTTTGAGGATTTTCCATAAAACTTTTGTACACTTTCTTTATAAAAAAATAATTTAAAACAAAACTGAAGACTAGTCATAAACAAAAAATCATTCTTTTCTCTTTATGTAAACAAAGATTGAGCAACTCACTACATTTCAAAAATAATTTTAGAACTAGATATCATAATTTGTAATAATCAATTTCTACTAGTTGGTGAAATGAAATATTAAATGATAACAGTATCTGGGGACATGGCATTTATAGATGTGTTCAATTTATGAACAAGTTAGAAAGTGAGTCTATTATGTGTTCTGTCTTTCAACAAGTATTTGTGTGAAATATTCATATTTATATATATGAACAAATAGTGTACTAGCAAAGGTGTGAATGATAGATAGGTATAAATCACAACAGAAAGAAACAATTTACTGAAAAAAGTTTGTCAATGGGGATTTATGTGCAGAACATACACAAAGATGCTGAATGATAAAACTCATATTCATATATATTCGTGTAATATATATTTTGTCTTTTAAGTTTCAGTTCAGTCATTCACTTACTGGAAATATCCACTACTTATTATGGTCATGAAAGTCCAACTATTGAGCAGCTTTTATTGGTTATATGAAATGTCTCATTAAAATTGTACATGTTCCAATGATTACATGTATTTGTTTAATGATGAGAAGAATGTGAATCTATACATCAATGTATTGTAAAGAAATTTAGTTTGTATCGCTTATCTTAGGAAAGGAAATCTTTTCATAATTTTAATGATATTTTGAAGACGAGATATTTATACAGAGAGATTTTTTTCTAACAGAGCTTTGGAACATATTTTTGATAATGGTAAATTGAATCTTTCTTTCTGTTACCATACATGTCAACTTTCCCGATTTAGGCGGGATCTTCCCGATTTTACCCTCTCATCCCGCTTTCCCGATCGTGAAAGAAAAATTGCCCTAATTTCCCGATTTGAAAAAAATCACCAAAATTTCCGATTATAAAAGATTCCCTTAACTGCTGAATTTTGACAAGCGGGATATCATTGTAAAACTTGTTTATTCAATGAACTCAGGTAAGTTTCATTGTTTATTTAACAATTAATTAGCCACAGGAAATCACTTCACGCTTGATTGGCCGCAGTTGTCCAGATACAAGTACCTTGTAGCTTGGGGCAATTAGGGGATTATCTTGTTAGTTTTAAGGGGTTTGAAAGGTGAAACACATAGATTAACGTGATAATTGTTGGTCATTTTATTGAAAACCTAAATCTAAGAAAATGAAATTCTAATCAAACTAGAAAATCGGAATCCAAAGAGATCGTTTTTTGAAAACGAAAGTAGAAAAATACAAAGCAGTTATCTACCTATAATGAAAAATATTGTAAAGCTTGCCAGTTAAAATATTATAAAATTAAGATGAAACAATCAAGTGTATGTCAAATTTCAGTAAATTTAATACCTTATTAGAATTTCTAATTCATTGAAATATAAATAAAAAATCTCAAAATTGTTTCCAGAAACAGGACTTTACAGTATCAAAACCTTATATATTTTTATGCGCCCGAATCGATAGATCCCTGGCGTATATTGTTTTTGTCATGTCTGTTTGTCTGTTGTCAACTTTAACCTTGGCCATAACTTTTAAACAATAAAAGATAGAGACTTCATATTTGGTATGCATACTCCACTAATAAAGTCCTTTCAAATGACATCAAGGTCAATGATCTTGTGACCTTGACTGTGACCGGTGTGCTAAAAATAGCTTTTTCCACTGTTTGCCATAACTTTTGAACCATAAGAGATAGGGACTTCATATTTGGTATGCATACTCCACAGATAAAGTCCTTTCAAACGACGGCAAGGTCAATGATCTTGTGACCTTGACTGTGACCTATGTGCTAAAAATAGCTCTTTACACTTTTTGCCATAACTTTTGAATCATAGGAGATAGGGACTTCATATTTAGTATGCATACTCCACTGATTAAGTTCTTTCAAATGACACTATGATCAATGACCTTGTGACCTTGACTGTCATCAATATGCTAAAAATAGATTTTTTGAACTTTGTTGCTGCCGGGCGCATAGTGTTTCACAAACACATCTTGTTTTATTCTTTTTTTTTTTATAAAAAAAATGATTTAAAAGTTGTACAATTTTCAATTTTTCAATAAATTATGTGTCCTGGTACAAAAAAAAACAACATGTTTTTGATGAGAGAGGCACTTAATTTAGCAAAAATATTTCAATTTGGAAAAAAAAAATTTTATTGTGTTAAATTAATCTTTTAGTTGTATTAATGAGTGATATCAAATTTTATAAATTTAATAAAACATCATTTCATTATCATTTAATTTCACGACAAAATATCGCGAATTGAGAGTTTTGAAAAATGTTGTCACGCGCTAAATCCCCCATGGGAATTTTCAAAAGTTGGCATGTATGTGTTACTAAAAATCTAGTAAATATCAAGAGTTTTCTCTCTTTATCAGTGAATACATGAACAAACTTTACTTTTGTTATTCATCACTTGATTTTGCTTTGATGTGTTAAAGGATTTTTTAAAAAAGAAACCTGCATGAAAATTTAAAACTTAGAGTAGTATAACTTCTGATGAGAAGAAAGTGGGTTAGGCTAACAGCATTCTCAGTATAACCTTAGGAGAAGAGAGTGTATGAAGATGTAAAGCATTTTTGAGTGCTAATATTTGTTGTTAATGACTGAACTGTTTTCTATTTACTTTTATTGAGCGTATGCTTCACGGTTGATTATACTGATTATCTTTAACACATTGTCCAGATACAATAACGTCTTGTATATTCTATTCCTTATATTTAATTATTATGACTTTGATTTTGAATCAAAAGCAATATTTTCATTGTTTTTCTCAGTATAGATATTAATAAAGAAATCCATTCATGTGTGCACAAATTTTGTATCTTATTCTTTTGTTAAGATTAACAATCAATGTGCTGTAGAAAGGTTTAACAATAGACATATATGCTTAGTTCAACCTTTTCCATTCTCAGCTTAAAACCACTGTACATTTGCTGTTTTTATATGTATACTCAAATTTATATCTGGCTCTGGGGAAAAAATTTCCCCTTATTAGTGCTAAATGTGCATGAACAAAATTTACCACATACATTGCCAATATTATCAAATGCTCGTCTTTCTAACTGTACAGAGTGGATAGTGTTTCCTTCTAAGACACTGCTTACTGGTTTCTCTAGATAAAATTTAAATTATCAGCATTTCGCAAGAGCATTACATGTATTTTTAATGAGATTGTTGTATTTCAATGATCACAACGTATTATTTTGCTGACTAAGTGATTATACAATTATATACTGGTGTATACAAAAATGTTTTAGGTATTTTGATACATGTTATGACATAAGTGCTTCTGAAAGAATGAAACCTGTATACATTTTTACAAACACTTTTTAGTTTTCAATGCTTGAATGTACATTTTCTACTTTTTTATGAAGTTTGTCTTAATTAAGTAAGAATCTTGTAGTCTAATCACTATGCAATTAATTTGATCTTTCTCCGAATCAATGTATTCTGATTCTAAGGTATGAGTATTTGAGACTTTGTGATCAATTTTTTTTCTTAATTAATGGTTTTGGTTTTGAGAGAGATAGTTTCTGTTCTTTGTAATTATGCACGGTTTTTGAAGAATTCATGTGTAAATGATGTTACATGCAAGCATGTTTATGATTTTTTTTACAATCAAAAAATAAATTTTAAAAACGAAGTATTGCTTTGAGTTCAAATGAATATACATGTAGTGTTGTATCAGGTTAATAACAAAACCAAATGTTTAAATGTATAAATCAGAGAGAGAAGAAGAACTATAAGAGCTGCAAATATGTTGCATTCTCAATTTTTTTTTTTTTTTGAAAGGGGGGGGGTACATTACTGCAGCTAAGAACAACTAAGCTGCAGCTAAGAACAAGTTAAAGAAGCAAGAATATCTACGGTCTTTGAACTCATCATTTCGTAAGTTCTATGGTCAATACAATGAATTTGTCAGCAAATACAAATGCTGACTGACTTTTTTTATACTGATTGCTAGGCTATCATTATTTACACACAGAGTTGTACACGGATTTTGTCCGCTTTTTCCCGATCATGAGGAGGAGCACACGGTGGTTGTGACCGGTCGGCAGGGGATGCTCATTTCTTTATGCATGGATCCTGATCCCACCTCTCATGCTTTGGTTGTCTGTGTTTAATGAACTTTTGAGCTCGAATACTGTTAGTTATCTCCACATATTCCATCCTCATCTTTTTATTAATTAAAAAAATTGCCGATTATTCAATTTATAACGAACCTTTATTTCATAAAATTTAATACAATGTATATAAGACAGTATGGTCTTGCAGTATAGATAAAATAGGAAATAATTTACCTTCGTAGTTAGAAAATATAGCAGTGCAAACTGCACTATTATATACAGTTTACTGTTCAGCAATGTTATAGTTTTATCTGTTGTTTTAGATACATTTATCAAAGGAAGTATTAAAGAGATTGTATTACTTATCCCACGCTATAAGTGAAAAACAATTTTATAATTGTCCGATTGTAATCTTGATGCACTTTTCATAAACTTATGTAGAAAATAGAAATTGCACAATCGAGTTTTAATATTCGATATCAAATAAAACTAAATGTAAAACATTTATCAAATAAATCTAAGATAGTGTAGACAGGGACCTCCTCTGTAAAAAATCTTTAATATAGAGTCAGTGTTTTTTATAAAGAGCTAGTAGAAGCCCTCCTGCTTTTGCAATGACTGATGGGTTTAGTTAGGATGTGGTGTAACGATACCAAGTAAGTATCCAATTTTCTATTTTAAGATCGTGCAAAGCCTTTGAGCAAACAGACTGGTTTTAATTTTGAATATTTCAAAGATTTTCATTGTTATTATACTGCATCATTAAGAAAGTTAGCAATATTCCATTTCCCGAGATCAGGTGAGCTAAGAAACAATCAAAATTTAGATTTTTATCATTTT